ACTCGGAGGCAGCGGGTCTGGGTTCGTTCAATTTCATTTACCAGATAGGTTGGAAGGCCACTCCAAACAGGTGAGGCATATTCAAGAATAGATCTAATGTTGGATTTATAAAGGGTAATACCTACTTCCACAGGTAGATTAGCTTTCCAGCATTCTCTTAAGATATATACTTGACGGTTAGCTTTCTGTATAACACTTTCAACATGATTGTTCCATTTGAGGTTGTTTTGAAGCCCCATTCCAAGTAGTTTAAATTTGTCCACTCTTTCAACTAGTTCATCACCGATATAAACAGAATACTGATTCTGTGAAGCATATCCACATGTTCTTTGTTGTTTTGACGTTGATAGTCATTTTGTTCGACACTGACCAATTTTGGATATGTCTAGAGCCTGTTGGACATGGCTTATTTCCCCGGCTCCAACTGCTTGATCGAGTGTGCAGTCATCGGCATACTTCGAGGTATCGACGGTTAGGTTTGCAGGGATTTCATCCTCTAAATCATAAGAATATGAATATTAATAATATTATTAATAATAATTTTAATATTAATATTAATAATTGCTCATCATGATAATATTATGAATATTAATAATAATTATAGTATTATTCATATTCTTAGAGTTCTTAAACGGGGTGGAATCCCACCTCATGAACTGATCCTTATTTACTATGCTCTCATTCGCTCCGTACTAGAGTACTGCTGCATTGTATGGCATAACAATCTACCAGCTTATCTGGCGGACTCAATTGAACGAGTTCAGAAAAGAGCACTGAATATAATCTTCCCTGGCAGGTCTTACCGTGCAGCTTTGAGTCAGCTCCATTGTTCTCGCCTAGATGAGAGACGCGATGCTTTGTGTGAAAGAACGATTAAAAAGATAATTGATGGCAACCGCCTGTTTTATCTCTTACCTCAGACTAGAGAAAACGTGAACTACGATTTACGTAACGCTAACAATTGGTCATTGTTCAAATGTAGAACTGATTGTTTTCAGAAAAGCTTTTTCCCAAGTATGATTCGAGTTTTGAATTTGTCATCATGACACTAGTTTTTGAATATCTAAACTATTACAATATATACTTTCCTCACACCTAAATTTTTAAATTGTAAATATAGTATTAAACTTATTCTATCTTTATTAACTTAGTTATGTAATTATTGTAAGCACATTGTAATTCAATTTTTTGTGATAGTGTGCCATTAAAAACGCATATATTATATTATTAATATACTATATAATACTAATATATTATTAATATATTATTATATGTACTAATATATTATTCTCGGTCCGTTATTGTTTGTCATCTTCATTAACGATCTGCAAGATGTTGTGCAAAATGGAACTGAAACAGCCCTGTATGCTGACGATACTAAATTGCACAATACAATTACCTCTACTGATGACTGCAAATGTTTACAACAATCGTTGACAAATCTGAATTGCTGGAGTGTACAAAACAACATCCGTTTCAATTCTTCTAAATGCAAAGTACTCACCATTACACGCAAGAAAACTCCAGTCACTTATAATTACAGACTGGGAACAGAAAGTCTGACTCGAGTTGACAGTGAAAAGGATCTTGGCGTCATCACTTCCTCCGGACTTTCATGGGAACTTCAAATCAATTGTGTCATCTCCAAGGCTAACAAAAGGTTAGGTGTACTAAAACGAACATGTACTCAACTGACAGACATGAAAGCCAGGCGAACTCTTTATTTGACTCATGTGAAATCGCAATTTTGCTACGCAACGGAAGTTTGGTCGCCCGTAAATAACATCCAACTCTCAAAGCGGATTGAAAGAGTGCAACGTCGGACGACGCGATGGATCATGATAAGCAGAAGAGGAGAGCTGAGTTACAAAGAACGTATGTAGGCCTTGGACCTTCTGCCGTTAACCTTCGACAGAGAGGTTAAGGACTTGGTGTATCTGTATACAATTAGGCTTTGTTTGGTTATGTGAATGTTGATGTCAGTAACTGTGTCTCGTTTGTCAGTCACGGTCGAACTCTTACATAGGATATATACACTTAAGTCCAATGTGAATCTTAAAAACTACTAGCTACCTATAATTATAGACTAAAAAGGTCCGATCACTCATAGGTAAGTCCATGAGTCCATAAAATCCAGTCCGTGTAAACGAGTAAAAATTAACTCGATAATTTATTTACAAAATCTTTATAATTTCCAGTCTGTCTAATTTCTAAAGGGAGCTCATTATACACTTTAGCTCCCTGCATGAAGTGAAAACTTCTACGTGCATATTCAGTTTTAATTTTAGGTAAGATCGCCAAGTAACCACTGTTTCGAGTTACTCTACCATATTCATTTCGAATAAAATGATCACTCAATGGATCACAAATATTGCCACCCATGCATAATCTTCCTTACCAACATACAGGCTCGCTTCTTCTTTAACTCCACAGCTGATGGAAAATTTGGATCATGAACACTGCCAACAAAGATTATTTTCAATGCTCGCTTGTGGAAGGAAGCCAATCGATCTTGCTGCGTGTAGTTAGCTTTAAAGAGTCATTGTCAACCACAATGCATTGTGCGCCCAAACCTGCTTGGCGGCCATTTTAATGGCGGAATAATAGATGTTTTGGTTTTTGGTTTCCATAATATATTACTACCGTCCTGTGGTTATACTTGCTCATTTTAACTTTTTTATAGTAAAATTAATATTGCACCAAAGAAATGTTTATAATCGTCATATGCTGTTATTTTTCACTTCCGACGGTAAGATCGATGTAAACAAATGCATTGTGGTTGACAATGACTCTTTAAGTTTTAGGTAAGATCGCCAAGTAACCACTGTTTCGAGTTACTCTACCATGTTCATTTCGATTAAAATGACCACTCAATGGATCACAAATATCGCCACCATGCATAATCTTCCTTACCAACATACAAGCTCGCTTGTGCAACAATCTAAGCCTTGATGATGACTATATGATGCTCGCTTAAAAGTGGCATCAAAATGCGAGTTGAGATTCAGTGTCGAATTGATTTCAACACCAAGATGTTTGTACACTATAAGAGTGGATTCTTTGTAGCTCACCGCGACAATGGATCATTTAATTTAGTTAAGCGTTTTTTCGTTACAAACAAGAGCGTTTCAGTTTTACCTTCTTTTAAATTTATAATAATAAACTTATCGTTGAAAGCTATCACGAATAATAGCGGGCCCAGTATTGAACCTGTGGCACGCCAATGAAGGAATAGGATTCCTGGGATAAATTGCCATTGTACGCAACCATAGATATCTTATATACACTAGATAGAGCATCTAATTATTCTGCGTTTCAAAAATTGAAGCCGTGATTGCAGTCTCAGGTCGTTCCCATGAAATGAGAAGATTCGTATGTTTTCTATTTCTTAAACAGGGAACTTAAACATTAGGTTAACCCTATTCCAAATACATTTTTAAAGTATTCAAATGATGAAAGTTATTGTTGTTTTTAAGCGTTTATTAGCAAGTGGGAACGACCAACATGGCCGCCATCTATTCAAATGGGGGTAACCGCTGGAATATTCTTGGCTTCAATTTTACAAAAAGAGATGCGCTATCTAGTGTATATAAGATATCTATGTACGCAACACGCACCATTCGCTGAATAGTGTGAAATTTTCTATGAAACCTACAAGCCCCTTTCAAACGAAATTTATTAAGCCCTCTCTCTATATTACGTCCCCGCCTTCAAAGCTACAATCAATGCAAAACATATTTGTTTGGATTAAATTTATAACCCCGCTCTTCCAAATTTGATTTATATTGTCCTGTGACCCTGTGAAAAGCAACAGCAGCAGATCACTAAACTCTAAATGTCGACAAGTGTGTGACGGAAGTCAAGCTATGGTGTACTGCCGCCCCTTACAACTACTAAAAGTTTAAATACATTCTGAACTTGACAGATATAAGACAGAACTTCAAAGATATGAGTTTAGAGTTATAAAGACATGAGGGAACTAAGCGATTTATTGACCGAGGTGCGTGCAGCGCCGAGGTTGAGGTAAATATCGAATCTATAGTGAACCATCCTTGGATAGGGGACAATGCCCCGTTTAGGGTAAGGGTGGGGAGAGGGTCAGGCATTCCACACAAGTAATAAAGTGCGCCTGTATGATGATATTCATCACAGATTTATTAGTTGCCCATAGGATGTATATTAATTATCATACGAAACAAGTGAATGGATTGAAAATACGTTTGTATAAATTCGCTGAGTGCAGCCGTGTGAGAGCTTTGACTGTTAATACGGCTAATCCTCGGACGTCGGATGATAGATACTAGAGAGTTTACGATTCACGACGCGGCCAGCTCGACGACGCGCTTAGAAAACAAAGAAATATGTCATGCGAAACAAAAGGGGATGAATAATTTGTAGTCACAAAAGTTTCGTCAACAGCGTTGCCATCAGTTGGGACACCGTCAAACGAGTAATTTTCACGTCTTCCTCGCGATATGAAAGCTCGTTGCGACATAGCCATAGGAGCTGTTTTATAACGTTGACAGAATGACAACATCAGCTAAATGTCGGAGTAGTTTAGGCCAATTTAAACATTTGTAAGATCATTAAAACATGCTTTAGACAATTAAAACATTGTAGTTAAATTCCTGTGGCTTATTTCAAGCATTAATTGACTCGACGTCGTCGAGCTGACCGCGTCGCGTAAACTCCCTACTCTTACCTGATGCATTCAGTACATATAGGCTGGTAGTTTCTTTCTCGTCTGGAGACGTACCGCGTTTATCTATCGAGATTATAGGCCCTAAATTCATTATTGTCCCTGGGCCGGGGTAATATATATGTGCCCTGAACGTGATTTAATCCCCGCGGTATGCATCAAACAAAATGCACTTAGCTACATAATGACCAAGTAACAAAGAATCAAAGAGAAATTGGAAAACATCGTTGACGTCATTATAAATGATTAATATTGCATGGATATATATATGCTCAAATTATCAAACTGACTGCAAAGCAACATGTCACGAACACTTGTTTATTGGCTCTTTTTCTTCAGTAACTTATTTATTGTTGCTAAAAGTTGTTCTGAGACACAATGTTTCAGGAAAGAAAATGATGTATCCAGAAAATTTCAACTTTTGCTCGCAGAAGAAGGAGTACGAATTGTTTACTTCAAGTTAGACCTCACCACCAGCGATAGTTACAACTCAATGCATCCAGACAGAATAATCCCCACTAGATGGACATGGGCAAGAAGTAACAGCGAACCACTCTTATCTTTGTCTTACGATTACGATGTTTTGTCTGTCGGCCTCTTAAAGAACCAAGAAAAAGATCTCACCTTGGATTTCACTTCAACACAAAGCCAATGCCTGAAGGCTTTGAATTCATCATGTCAAGACCTGGAAATCGCTAGGGCTCTGTTGGACATTGCAAACACTAGTCCTAACAAAGCTTTGAAAATAAAAACTGATGTAGTCTGTTTTAGAGTACTACGTGAACATTGGTTTGGAATTGGTAGTCACTTTAAATATCAATGCTGTAAAGAGAATATGCTGGATAATGGCAACGGAACCTCTATCAGTTGTAATGTTCGTGTGAGTGAGAGCAAGTGGCTGGCCGTTTTCAATGCTATTTTAGCAATATTGGTGGGAGTTACAGTCTTGTATTGGCCTTGGATTTTCTGTGTGCTACCAAGCTCATTTTTTTCAGACGAAAATCATCGTGCCCCTCAAAATCACGTGGAGAGTGGGGCCTCATGCGTGGCTAGCGCGTCATCACGCAATATTCGTTTGGACGACTACAGCCCAATAACACTTCAAATATTTCTTGAGAAACTTGGAGATTTATATCCAAACAATATACTCGATTTACGTGTGAAGTTATCCCTTGTTTGGTTTGGCTTTATTCCAATACTTTTTTACATAAAACTGCTCCTTTACGTCATAATAAAAAGCGGCACATTGGATGAAACATCAAGAAAATTACTATTTCAAGTAGCCGACTTTTATTTCTTTGTGTTCAACATGAAAAGACCTCTTGTGTACCTGCTGTTTGTCATGCCGTTTTTTGTTATTCCTTGCGTGGCGATATTCTTGGTGCCAACACAGATCGATTGTAGCAGTGTAATTGAAGAAATCTCCAAATCTCCAAAAAAGTTCAAGAAAAATTTGGAAGACATCAAAACTATTTGTCGAATGTTGCTGAAAAAGATCCTAAATAGTCTTAGCAAAAGTGACGTCCTTGGTAATTCTACTTGTGTCAAACGATCTGTTGCATCTATATACTCCGTTGCATACATCATTCTTGTTGTTCCAATATGTACGGTAACAGCATTTGTCATTCTTCTGATCATTTCGGTCTTGTGTTTGGCAAGATTTTCCCCATATCTAGTTTTCCTTTCATATCTTTTAGGATCTACTAGTAAATTCTCATTCCATCACCGCATACTTCTTTTCTATTCAACCTTCAGCGCGACCATTCTTGCGACATTTTCTTGCCAATTCGCTGTCCGGATGCTAGGTTTTGTCATAATGGGAATAATTTTGAATGCTGAATTTGTCATACCGTACATGACGTTTGCATTTGTGGTTGGCAGGAATATATATCTTTGTTTCTGTAATACCCAAAGTAAGTATAAAGAGCTTAAAGATATTATTGCTAAAAAATGGCCGAAAGACGGAGATACAATGCCTGAGAAATTATTTTGGCTTGTTTCGGATGAGGTACTTCCTATAGAGATGTTATTATTGTTTTGCAGAATCCTGGCAATTGTGGTGTTTCTCTCAATCGCCCTAACTGCAATTCTTTTGTTCAAAGTAACATATGGTGCTTCCGCTATAGTTCCAACCCTTTCAGTCTTTATAAGTGGGAAATTTTCCGAGCTATTCTTCACAGGAATCACCACAACACAATCTAGCTTTGTTGGAAGTGAAAATATAAGTTTCGAGGAAAAAATAGGATCTGTGGTTCAGAAGTATATCGCAAACGAGAATGACACTTCCGAAACAACAGAAATGAAGATGCCTTGCTTCAGTGTTTGTTTTCCAAAACTTTAATCAAGAGTAGGATCATGGGCACAACCATATTACAGTCGAAACCATATCATAGATGTATGCTGTGTATAAATGACTTTTAACCTTGTTGTAAACTTCTGTTCAGGCAGGACTGTTAAATCGTGTCACTGCAGCTCTACGATTGCATACATGTGTGAAAATACACATTTTATTATTATAGTATTAGGTACAGTAGAGATTACCTGTAGAACAATATATCTGCATGGAACTCGTTTTGGAGGATGAGGCAGAATTTTCAAGCTTAAACATTTCACATTTCCATGGGTAATTTGGCAAAATATGCAAAATTTAACGTTGGAAAAAACACGTAAAAAGTCCGTATTGAAATGTCAAAATTGTAAATTCCGTATTCAATGTGACATTTTGAAACAATCCTCATTATACAAAACAAAAAATTCCATATTCTACAAACAATTCCAAGTCCGTCTCATCCCCCGACCCTTTGTATAACAAACCAGGTGTCAATCGGCTTGGGTAGATTTTTGTCACTCCCAAATGCATTATGCGTTACGGCAACGCAGGCAGCCGAGAAGCCCTGGGAACGAGGATGCATTAAGGCCGGTTTCCATTGCAGTCGCTTTGCCCGCGCGGGCGGAGCAGGCTTTGAAAATCTGCTCACGCGGGCGTGACGGGCGTCAAAGTTCGCCCGCGCGGGAAAGCGAACTTTAATGGAAAATGGCCTTTAGGGACGGACCATTAGCCTACGTCCACACTAATCCGTTTTCGTATTGTTTCAGATAATTAGACAATAGTTTTCTGTTCCCTTGTGCATGAACGGAGAACAATACGACATCGCTGCGGAAACGGATTAGTGTGGACGAAGCTTTGGTAGAAGGTGGGAATGGATGGAGAAGTTTCTGCCATGCATGGATTTTTTACGATACGCTTGGTGTGCATGTTTTTTTCGTGTTGTGATATGTTTTCTGCCAACTTCTGCCTGAATGGATCTTTTTCAGAAAGATTTTGTTTGGTTCTCCACCCCCCTCCCCCTTCTTGTCTAATGGTCCGTCCCTTGTTATAATGCAAGGAACTGGAGTTCATTATTTCTTCTAGTACAGTATAGTAGCTTTCAAGTTGTCCTCCAGAGGAATGCATGAGCCTGCAAGTAATCTACAGCGTAAATATCACTTGATGCATGTAAATAGTCTAATTTGTTTTCTGCAGTAAACATAGTGTTCATTTTTAGATTGCTGTATGATAGTATTTGAATTATACTTTGATGTTCGATGTGTCAAATAAGCCAAATATTTTTGTTTATAAAATAAATGATCAAATCCCGCTCGAAATGCAACGAGCCCACAGATGAAACTCTACGATTGTAGTTTATAGAGTTAAGGCATTATTTTTTTAATTAAATGACAACCTTTGTTTTTGACTGTGTTGGAAACGTCACGTTTTCACGTCCATTTTATATTGCACAACCTGCACGCATTCCTATGTGTTTTCTACACCGCAAGCATGATTGTAACCTCCCAATTTGAAAATTTAATGACTGACTATGAACAAAAGTTTTCTTTTAGTAAAAAAGGTGACACTGACAGACTGACTATTCGAGTTTCCCAAAAAAATCGTAACTGCGATCCACTCCGCGAAAAATGAGCCACCTCACACATACAATTTCTACTGCATGTTAACATCATCATCATCATCACTCCATAATTCAATGCACCACACTTTTGAACACAGCCAAAACTTTGTTTCAGTCGCTAGGCCTCGAGCTAGATACTAATTAGGACATTAGGGCCATTTATACGTGACAAAATAAGTCGCGACTTACATAAGACGCGACTTAAATAAGTGGAGTTATCGCATAAATGGTTCTCTACGGTTTTGGTCTTATTTATTTGCTATAGCTATGTTGTATTGGTTGTTTTTGTTTTAATATGCAAGGCATTAAATTTTACGTTGTTTCAAGTTTCTGGCATGTGTAGTTAGACTTTTTGTCCAAAATTTCTTATTTAAGACGCGACTTAAATAAGAACAGCTAAAAGACCTGTTCTTATGTAAGACGCGTCTTATCCAAGACGCGTCTTACATAAGAATTTTGTACCTTTTATACGACAAACTCGCGTCTTACTTAAGTCGCGTCTTATGTAAGTCGCATCTTATTTTGTTCCGTATAAATGGCCCTATTGTCAATGGACAATGACTAACAAGACTAACTATACTGTGACAAGAACAAATATAACAATTGATACTGTCAAACTTGCGCACTTTGGTTTATAGACCATTCCCCTTGTGAGTGAAATTTTGATCTAGATATGCCTGGGCAACAATTTCATCACAGCTTGAAGGAGCATCACAAAATTAGTAATATTCCGAAGTTTCGTTGCGAAATGTTGTAAAATGCGGATAATATAGCCTTGCGAAGTTTGCCATTTTTCAGTCATTTTGCATTGCAAACGGGAAATTGGTAATCAGATGATCAAACTGATTATCAATTTCCCATTTGTAATACAGAATGACTGAAAAACGGCAAACTTCGCAAGGCTATTTTATCCGCATTTTAGAACATTTCGCAACGAAACTTCGGAATATTGCTAATTTTGTGATGCTCTTTCAAGCTGTGATGAAATTTTTGTGCAGGCTTGTCTAGATCAAAATTTCACTCATAAGGGGAAAGGTCTAATCCCCAGAGCCAATGCCTTCCTAGCTGCGCACAGGCATTGCTCTGGATACGAGATTGTCCTTTGGCTGGGTGAAAATTAATCACGTCACTTTAAGTAATGACCTATTTGTATGAGATGTCATATCAAATCAACACCGCGGAAAAACGTCTGCGCATGCACCAAATTATGAAAATATGGCGGGAAATTTGAATATCAATTTCTAAAACAAAAACATGCTTATTAATTGGTCAAAAATTAGTAAAACAAACGAGAAAATATAGCAAATAGGTAGACTAGACATTAATTGAAAGCGTCCTGGCATTTAAAGTATGGAATGAAATATAATTCATGTAAAAAATTGTTGATTTTAACGGACACGACTTCGAAAAATTTTGCAAAATTATTCAAAACAAAAATTCAAACTAAAAAGTTAAGAAAACTCTCGAAAAGTTAAGCTTCTTAACCCACTCAAATTGTAGAATAAATCCTAAAGTTTAATTATTGTGAACACGAAAAATTTTTATATTTGGCGACACTGTTTTTTTAAAGAAATGTATCTCAAACGAAAATTCGGAAATTGTCATTGCTTAGTTGATAAACAAAATGTTTCAGACGATAAATTTGTCAACAATCACCTTTAGTTCATGTTCTTGTACAATACAATTTCTTGAACCTTCTGGCTGTATTTATTTCTAGTTTTTAGAATGACATGTTTATTTTTGCGCTTGAATCTGGCTGTAAAGACGCACAATGAAATCACTCCTTTTTACCGCCATTTTGAGCCTTCGGAAACGTTCGGAACAGCTTCTCATCAAGTTCGCAATACTATTACAGGTAAGGTTGACGCATGCGCAGACGTTTTTCCGCGGTGTTTATTATGAAGGGTTAGGTTAAAATGCGGAAGCGGATGCAGAACGGAACGGATGGGGTTAAAATGCGGAACGGATATGGGGTTAAAATGCGGAACGGATCGGATATGGGGTTAAAATGCGGAACGGAACGGATATGGGGTTAAAATGCGGAACGGAACGGATACGGGATTTAAATTAAGTTTTGACCTCATATTCGTTCCGTTCTGCATTTTAACCCCATATCCGTTCCGTTCCGTATTTTAACCCCATCCGTTCCGTTCCGCATTTTAACCTAACCCTGTTATGAAGGCGTTTCAGTTAATTTGTTATTGTTTTTATGCTCATAATTGTAGACTTTTCGAATAGAGAAATACCGTAGTTTATAATAAGAACGTAGAACTAGTAGATCAATAAAACTGTTCTTGCGGCAGTTTCAATAAAACGGCAGTTTACGTTTTCGAACGCTTGTCGCAAGAGAGAAATACACATGCAGTTTGACCTTCCTATAAATTGACTTTTATATTAATTCCCAGGATCATATAAGCTTGGATTTTAGAGAAAAAAGTTTAGGGTTGCTTTTTATTTCTAAACTATAAAGTTGACATTTTAATAATTAATTAATATTATTTTAAGCATTTTAGCTGAGCAAATTATGAACCTAAATAGACCTACATTCATAATTCTTGTGCATATATACTGCCAAGATTTACGATGGAAAACGTTTCCATAAAATAAAATAAACCTGGGTTACTTCATAAGATTTTATTCACTGCAAACTTGTTTCGTATGACAAGCAAGTCAAGCAATGATTGCCACACTCACCTGATAAGTACCTGATCATTCACCTGATGAGTGCATGTGGCAAGCATTGCTTGTCACACTGCATACAGAACAGGTTTGTGGTGAATGAAATCTTATATTAGCTCTATACTTCAGTATATTGAGCACTCTACTCATATGATTCTAAATACATATTTGGTATATACATGCAGTATATATAAGAAAACAAACAAGATTTCGACATAACCTGGTCAATGCTAAAACGCGCTGCTTCTTGTTTTTTGTTGTTTCTTGTTTTTGTTTTTTTTTTGTTTTTTTTTCTTGTTTCTTTTTGTTTTTTGTTTTTTGGTTGTTTTTTTCTTGTTTCTTTTTTCTTTTTTTTAAACGCGCTGTTTTTTATTTTCTTGTTTCTGTTTTTTATTTTTTTGTTTCTTGTTTCTTGTTTCTTTCTTGTTTCTTTTGTTTTTTTTTGAAAAACTCAGTATTTTAAAGGAAAAAAAAACAAATAAATAATAATAATAATATATATATATATATATATATATATATATATATATATATATATATATATATATATATATATATATATATATATATATATATATAATTAAAATTATATATATTATAATATTATAGAATTAACTTTGAAATTAACTTAGTTTCTAATTTTTGAATGTTTTTAATGTTTTTAAATTAGTTAAATTTCACATTCAAAAATATAATTCGCTCCACAATCTCTGTGTTGAGCACTCTAGCAAAGTGGACAAACCCAACTTGTATATATATATATATATATATATATATATATATATAT